GGGGGTAGGGGTGGTAAGTAATGATATCCTTTGTGCTCATCCAATAAAACAATTAGGGGTGTGGTTAGGTTTACACTATAATTTATTAAAGACTCCACAGGTAGAAGGAGAGAACAGGAAGTACATTGATCATACCGGAAATAGTATCATCCGCACCTGTTTAAGGAAGATGAATGAATGAATGATTTAATATGAGAATTTCCAATCATAATTATAGAGATAGCGTATTGGGAAATTGGGGAAACTTCCAATTTATACGTTCAATGTTCATTGATCAAAATAATTTCTGTTTTCACCAATATTTCTAATTTGATCGAGTTGTAATACATTTTAATAGGGAGGCCTTGGAAAATATATGTAGAAAAAAAGGTATTAGATACAAGTTAACAGACCTCAAGTTGAATTTTTTTTAAATGCAAAAAGTAGTTTAACTAGGTTCGGATAATTGAATTACTTCTATAGAGCGGGTGAGAGTGCACTAAAAACTATTTTTACTATATATATTTCTAGATATGTCTGATTCACAATGGTTCCCTATACATCTTTAACTGATCAATTTTTTAAAATCTTTTAATTTTGAACGAAAAATTATTATTTTTGACAGTGATTTCTCTATGAAATGATATGCTGCAGAAACGACTTAGGAAATGTAAGAAATTGCAATTTTTTAACTTTGAAAATCATGAACAGTCAGATAAATGTTTAAAGGGTATCTGAAACGTCACTCTGTAGATGGATTCTTCGCTTATCTTCCCTTTGTAAATCTTACAATCTCTAGTTTTCTAATCTATGTTTATTCAACCATATCGTCCACTCAACTACACCTATACTAAGTACATTTAATCCTTTTAAACTCCACTTAACCAATCATTTTCAAATCATTCTTAGATTTTATCTCCAGAGATTGAAAAATACATTAACATTTACAAAAAATACGTTTTCAGCAAAATTTACATGATATAAAGAGGAAAAATTCCGTGAAAAATTTCTAGGAAATCAAATCTGAAAAAAAAATTTAGAATTTCATGATTTGTTTTACTTTTTTCAGGCATATCCGATGTGCAATTATGACTACGTTCCAAATGAAATAGATAATTAAATATCTTTTTTGTGTCACCCAACGAAAACGATATTTATAAAAGCTTCTTCTTGAAAAATATAGAAAACAATGGAATAACTTGTCGTCTTCCTTGCTTTATTTGATTTCTAGATATTCATATTTGCTGCACCTACTGTACATGATTACTTGATTATCAACAATCACAAAGGAAGAGACTTTACAGAACGACCTAAACTCTGAACTATGACAATTTATTAAGCTTGATTTATTGGTTTCTGCATTTAATTGAGTATTTTGATTGAGCACAGATATAAGCCAGTTTGGGCCTGCAATGAAACCCGAATGCAAGAAAACGGACTCAAAAAACTCCGTACAATCGACGCTGAAGTCTCATTCTTTGTGGATAACCCTGTACTTGGTCCTTACAAATATTGTTTTTAAACAATAAATAAAAAATACAAACTGTTCAGGATCCGTAAACTGGCAGATAACTGTACTGGATTACAGGGATTCCTCGTCTTCCACTCATTCGGAGGAGGAACCGGATCAGGTCAGTGTGTGAGAGGGTGAGTGGGAGAGAGTGTGAGTGAGTGGGTGAGTGAGAGGGTGAATGTGTGAGAGTGTGAGTGAGAGGGTGAATGTGTGAGAGGGTGAGTTAGTAAGTCATTATACACACTGTTGAACAGTTAGCGAGTGTGTAAAAGAAAAAAAGTGCAGAAAAAGGCAAAAATAAAGAAAGAAAGGATAAAAGATGATCATTAATAATGATAGCAATCAATTTCAAACAATTCATTTTTGTGTACAAACGTATACTAGAACCCAAATCTGCCTCTCGTATCTCATTTTTTACTTTAGCTTCATTTGCTTTAAAACTTAGTGTGATGTTTTAACACTTTACATTTACAATTAACTTATAAAAAAATTATAAGGGATATGTCTAAAATGAATTTTTTAATCAGTAAGAATAGATTAAAATTGTTTTAGTTGTATTTTTAAACTATGAAATTTAAGGGTTCACCTCTCTTCTGATGGAACGTTTGTCTGTAGACTTCGGAAAGAAATCCAAACTTGAATTCTCGATTTACCCCGCTCCTCAGGTATTTACCCCGCTCCTCAGGTATTTACCCCGCTCCTCAGGTATTTACCCCGCTCCTCAGGTATTTATCCAGCCCCCCCCTCTTTCCCATATTCAACATTACCGTTAATTTTTTTGAAAATACAACAGCTACATTTATGAGAACACCCATAGCCAATCTTATCGCTCAGAGATGTTCCTATTTCCTAATGCCCAGAATCATCAATACTTTTTTTCAAAGAAAATCCGTTATTTTTTTGGCAGATTTCCCATCTATCAAGAAGTTAAAATCACGGAACACAAGTTAAAGTTGAGAAAACATTTTTGTATTCGTCGTGTCGTGTTGCCATTTTCGTTCTATACTTTTTGATTTAGAAAATAAACGCCAGGAAAATTTGATTAAAAAGTTAAATTTTCAGAGGAATTTTTTTCTTTTATTGTGATTTGTCTGGTTTTATGAGCTCAGGCTTTAATTATAATGTTGTTGCTAGGTTACTACAGCTATTGTTGAACCCTACAAATCTTCACTTTATTATTTAGGTTACTACACCATGTAGTTAAATCCTAAAACTCTATCCTTTATTACTTTAGGTTATTTACCATTGTGGTTGAACCCTACAATCCTATATTATTTAGGTTGCTATTGCTGTAGTTAGACCCTACAACTCTATCCTATATTACTTTAGGTTGCTACAGCTGTGGTTGAACCCTACAACTCTATCCTATATAACACTAGGTTGCTACAGTTGTGGTTGAACCCTACAGCTCTATCATATATTACTCTAGGTTGCTACAGCTGTGGTTGAATCCTACAACTCTATCCTATATTACTCTAGGTTGCTACAGTTGTGGTTGACCCTATAACTATAATCTATATTAATCTAGGTTGCTACAGTTGTGGTTGAATCCTACAGCTCTATCCTATATTATTCTAGGTTGCTACAGTTGGGGTTGACCTTATAACTATAACCTATATTAATCTAGGTTGCTACAGTTGTGGTTGAACCCTACAGCTCTATCCTATATTACTCTAGGTTGCTACAGCTGTGGTTGAACCCTATAACTATATCCTATATTACTCTAGGTTGCTACAGCTGTGGTTGAACCCTACAACTCTATTCTTACCACTCATACCACACTCGAACATTCAGGTATCCTCTAAACCTTTGTTTTATATAAAAGAAGGAATATCTAAACTTTCAAATACGGGTTCTCTGTGAAAGTTGTGGATTTAATTTGTTTGTTTTTCGGATTAAAAAAACATTGATATTTTCATTATTGTTACCCAGATAAAGATTAAAAAAATAATTTGAAAATATAGCCCTACGGGTCACTTCCTGTTAAAATACCTTTTTTTAAATTTTTTAACTTTTATCAAAATGAGAAGTTTTGTTGCATAAGCATTGTTTAAAATTAAAATTATTTCTGTTTTTAGATTGTGCATTTATGGTTGACAATGAGGCGATCTATGATATCTGTCAAAGAAATCTAGATATTGAGCGTCCAACCTATACAAACCTTAACAGGCTAATAGGTTAGAATTTTAATTAGTAATATATTATTAATGTATTTCTTTATACAAATACAAATATTAGGATAATGGTAATTCATGGTGGGATCATGAACATAACTTTAATCTTAACCATGTGCCCATGAAATGATATGACCATAATCATAACTATGAATATGACTATAATTATCACTCATGACCATATTGTCATGACTATGATGATGACAACTTGACAAGAACCACAACGTTACCATAATTATGACTGTAACGTGTATAACCATGAACATACTAGAGAATACAAAACCTGAACCATAAACTTAACGTACAACCATGAACAATGAACATAAAAGAGAAATATGACCATCATATGTACAAAACCTTAACTTTAAACCATGACGTACAACCATGAACATAACAGAGAAATATGAACATCATATGTACAAAACATTAATCATAAACATGACGTACAACCATGGCCATAAACCAAAACATTAACTATATAAAACCAGGATAGCACTGATATTTTGATAATGACAGAGCTCTGACAATGTTTTTTTGTCCTCAGGTCAAATAGTGTCCTCTATAACGGCCTCCTTGAGGTTTGATGGAGCCCTGAATGTTGACCTCACCGAGTTCCAGACTAATCTAGTTCCATACCCCAGGTACAGTTACATGAAAAAGAAAAAAGTAAAAAATCTATTTGAAACCCTAATTATACCGGAGAAATCGTATCCTAAAAGTCATTAAGTTTTACAACTTAACAATGTTATCCCGAGAAACGAATTAATCAACAAAATAAAGATAGCAAAATTCAAAATAAAAAAACGACAAATCTTTTAGTAATGATCCTTAAGAATCATTTAATTTTTTAGTTTTTCAACTAAACAAAAAAAATCTACATCGAGAAAAGAATTATCAAGAGGAACGTAAAAAATCTCAGGTTCTTGAAAGAAAAAAATTGATTGAATGAAATTGCGACAAATTTTTTAGATAATATCAACAATGTTTTGTTCTGCTCTAATTAAAAACTGTTTAAGCATGCACCTGTGTGCTTTTTCTGGTCGGTAATTTTCAAAGGCGCTTAATTAAATAGAATGATTATTCAAAATAATAAAAGAATTTTAGATGACGCAATAAAGCTTTTTTCTACCGCTAACCTGCCTTTAGTAAAATGCGATTTAAAAACAAAGTTCGAGCAAAATTTAATTTATTTTTAAAAATTCTTTAGGATTCACTTCCCTTTGGTGACCTATGCCCCTGTAATTAGTGCTGAAAAGGTAAACAAAACGTGAATAATATTTTGATCCGTGATTTTCAAGGAAAAGGACGATTTACCAGATTATAGAATGTCCCAGAGCTGGGAACTTTTGAATGATTGACATCGGGATTAACGCTTGATCCACTCTTTTTCTTAATCTCGAGATTAAATATTGCTTATTCTCCTCTTATTATTAATCTCCAGATTAGTTAACCAATCGGGATTAAGGATATCCCATTCTAAAGTTTTCAGCTCTGATTATGTAAACACGCAAGTTTTTGGTGATGGAAATGCGTAAAAAGTCCTAAAATCTTTTTAAATTTTAGAAACGACGACATTCTATGGCTTCTTATTGAACCCAATTGAGGCGTCTGGTTTTGCGTATAAATCCCAATGCCTTCTCTTTATATTACAAAGCTCTTTGGGGAAAACCATTTTATAGGGAAAAAGAAAATTCATCGAAAAATTAAAATTTGGGATGAAGCCATTTTGGTAAAAATTGACATAAAGAAACTAAAATTTTCCTTATAAATAAGAAAATGACATTAAGGCGTATCACGAGCAGCTGTCAGTATCTGAGATAACGAATGCTTGCTTTGAGCCAAACAATCAGATGGTTAAATGTGATCCTCGGCATGGTAAGCATATTCTAATAAAAAAAATCAAAATGGAAAAATTAGATCAAAAGAACTGAAGATGTAAATTTAAATGTCAATAATTTCAATTGTGGAATGTCTGATTATCAACAGTACAATTTAAACCACTATCCATGTAACAGTGAATAAGATTTCGTTGTTTTTTATCTTGAAAAGTGTTAAATTATCACAATTTTCCTTCATGTTTCATAAATCTGTTAGTCACTTTTGCATTGAAACCACATCTAATAAGGATCAATTTCCAGCAAGGGGAAATGGATTTCTCAGACAAAGTTGTACCGTTGTAAAGCGGAGATTCCACGTAAAATTACGTTTACAGTCCCTTTTAAAGTAATATTTGTGTACTAGGAAAGTACATGGCGTGCTGTATGCTGTACAGAGGAGATGTAGTTCCTAAGGATGTAAATGCTGCTATTGCTTCCATAAAAACCAAGCGTAGCATTCAGTTTGTGGATTGGTGTCCCACAGGGTTCAAGGTTGGTCCATATTTATTTTAAGATTCAAATATTATTTATCTTATCAACCAATACGGCAATTTTTGTGGAAGTTGCCTGAAAATATTCATAAAAAAATATATTTCAATAAAAAAAAGATAGAATGATGGAATAATATTGTTTTTGTTTAGGTTGGAATAAACTACCAACCTCCTACCGTAGTGCCTGGAGGGGATCTTGCAAAGGTAAATAAACAAATATTTAAGAGATTGTTCACGCATTTTGGAAATAATACCATCAACCAAAATTCATAACAATTGCTTTTAAATTTACTCTGGCAAACGATGACAGAGAAGTTGTCGTTTTTATCTAGAACTAGACAAATATCTGGAACTAGACAAATATCTGGAACTAGACAAATATATGGAACTAGACAAATATATGGAATTAGACAAATATCTGGAACTAGACAAATATCTGGAACTAGACAAATATCTGGAACTAGACAAATATCTGGAACTAGACAAATATCTGGAACTAGACAAATATATGGAACTAGACAAATATATGGAATTAGACAAATATCTGGAACTAGACAAATATCTGGAACTAGACAAATATCGTTCCGTTTTCTTGAGTTTCGGTTTTCTGCCAAAGAAAACCTTTAACGAAAGTCAGAGAATAGATGCTGAGATTTAAATTGTGCATGCTGAGATTTAAACTGGTCGTGTTGAGATTTTTACTGTTCATGCTGAGATTTGAACTGTATATGCTGAGATTTATTCTGGTCATGCTGAGATTTTTACTGTACATACTGAGATTTGTACTCTACATACTGAGATTTGTACTGTACATGAATTCAGGTACAACGAGCTGTTTGTATGTTGTCCAATACAACAGCTATTGCTGAGGCCTGGGCTCGTCTTGATCACAAGTTTGATCTTATGTACGCAAAGAGAGCTTTTGTACACTGGTGAGTAAAATTGTTTTAATATATCCAGGGGTAAAGACTAAAGGAAGTGTTCAGGAAAATGATGAAGGGGTTTAGAATGAACGCTAACTAGTTAAACTATTTACTCCTTAATCAGTGATCCACCCCTTCCCAATTAACGGGTGTCCAAAATTGAGGAATTACTATTTTCATACCTTCAAAACTGACGAAGAAATAAAAACCTTGTCCAGTTTTCAATTTTTTTTTTTAAATCAAAAGTTTCTAACTACCATCACCATTAATTTCAAAAATTTAGAAAGCCTTTGCGACCTTATTCCTCTTTTTGGTTCATTTAAAGCATTTCAACAATCCACACCTATCAAAGACGACACAAAAATCGTCTCTTAATTTCCCAGTTTATTGGAACACCCTGGTAGAAAATGTAAATAAGAATAATAACAGTAAAATATACAAATGTTTTTGTAATTTACACAAAAAGTTATTTAATTATGCAATGCAGTAGAATAAGCATTAAATAAAACAATTCGGAAACAAGGGAAATCTAGTTCTACGACTCAATTACTCAATTATTTCTAATATTAAAATTTTCAATTGGAAATAGAAAGCTGTATAAACAAAGTGTTTGAGAATATTAACAATTAATCCCAGAACTTCAGAGCTACCGAAAGAATTTATTTAATGTCATCTTAACAATTTTTCAATGGGTTTTATTAAATCTAAGTAATTGAAAAATATTAATAAATAGCCATGAAATATACTGGAACAGTTTTAAGAAGCTCCATAATGATTCAATTAGAAAAGTGAATATCTGCAGCATTCCATTATCAGGAGGTTTAGAAAAAGAATTTTACAAATTGTTCCGATGTTTTCAAAGTTCTGGGTAAAATTGTAGTTTACTAACAAATAATTTTGTTCAAAACCAAAATCATGATTTAATTTTTTAAAACTTTGTATTAAACTTTACTTCTATAAACAAAATAATAAAAACAAGTCTGTTTTGCTGTTAATAACGCGATAAACTATTTAAAAACAGCTGCAACAAGATATCCATAAACTATAAGTTCCAGAAATTGTATTTAAAATCTTTTTATGAAAAAAATATATTTTTTTGCAAAATATAATACCCAAAATTAAAAAAGTTGTTAAAGTCCTAAGTTGTCATCACGTTGCTGTTTTGATTTTGTCTCTTTATCAAACAGAAACAGGATTACTCACGCAAAGAATATCATGAGGAAACAGACAATATGAATTCTGTAGAGTTGTCACTGAAGTGGATAACCCTGTATGTATGAGCAGAATAATCGATTGATGAGATATCTACATTCAAATTAATCTAAAAATGAAATTGAATTAAAGGGTCTGTTGGCGTAATTTCATGTGACATTCTATTTATAGAGTGGAATTTCTTATTCACAACAGTACCCTTCAAATGTTTCACGCACCTTTCAAGCTATAAGAGCAACGTTCTCCTCTGCATTTATCAGAACAAGCTGTTTGAAGTGTTCTGTAGCGGATCGTCCATACTTCTCCTCTAAATGGAGGGTTACTTTAACTTCGTCTAGAGTCCCTTTAAGCAGAAAATCTGTGGAAATTGCAAATCGATACAAAACTAATAAAAGATTATCTGCAATTCCTTCAGTTTCCAAAACAATAATAATTGGAATGAAAAACAAATATTTCCTGGATAAAATAAATTTATCAAAATAGATTCATAAAATGTTTTTAATCAAACTTAAATGTACGATTTCTTCAGAGTGTCCCAATAAACATGGGAATAATAAGACGACATTATAATAGTACAAAAAGAGTCGGTTATAACTAACTGTGAACTATCTGTTCAGTCATAAGGCTCGAGCTGTGAACTATCTGTTCAGTCATAAGTCTCGAGCTGTGAACTATCTGTTCAGTCATAAGTCTCAAGCTGTGAACTATCTGTTCAGTCCTAAGTTTCTATCTGATGCCATCTATATAAAGGTATGTTGGTGAGGGTATGGAGGAAGGAGAGTTCTCTGAGGCGAGGGAGGATCTTGCTGCTCTGGAAAAGGATTATGAAGAGGTAAATTATTCAAAAAATATTTTTACATATTTTATAATTTTAGAAGAAAAAGAAGTCGTCCTACCTGTTTGTTACAAAAAAGTGGTCTGCCTTCTTTCATGATAATTCAAATTTAAATTAATATTTCATAATATCGTTGGTAATTTTGTAAGCAGTGAAAGACAATTAGCATTTTAGAAGGGCAACAAATATGGGTCTTAAACAATTACAGATTAAGTGTAAAATTAGGATATATACAGGGTTAACCAGAAAGGGTGAGACTGTAAAGACGACCTGAAAATCAGATATATGACGATTACGTTAAAAAAATCTTTGCCTTGAATATTCTCTCCACTGAGAACAATTTCCCTCCGGTGGCCTCCGCTCCAGCGGAGTGGAACCAACATGCTACTAGACTGCAAACTTTAATCTCTCGTCTTTTAATAATCTATTTATTGACAATGAAAGAAACCAGTTTAAAGTTGCAGAGAATCCTAAATATATGATAATAGACAGAATAAATTATGTACAGTCGTCTCTGAAGTCTCATCCTAAATCTGAGTAACCCTGTATATTGAATTGCAATAATTGTCTGAAGTAAGACGACTTAACATTATGTACTTGTCTTATAAGTTTGCTTGCTCAGTGGGATGTTGGTGAAAATAAATTTACATCAATAAAAAATATATTATTGATTCTAATATTTAGGTTGGAATGGATTCCATTGATGGAGAGATGGGAGAAGAATATTAATATTGTTTAACGGAACTGAACCAGTCAACGGAACTAAATTTCTATTCGGAAATGTTAACTAGACCTCTCGAGAATATGACTTAAAAGATCAGAATACCGAAATTTTAACCTTTTTCGCCAATTGCTTATTTTCTTTAATAAATATGCACTTCTCTAGTATTCGCACTAAACGATGCAAAATAAATCATCGTTTACTTTTCGTACACAACTGCCTTGTCGTCCTAATTGCACCTAAAACAATTAAAATGTTGCAAAGTACTGCCTACTGCCTGTTTACTATGTAGCCCACTCTACTACTGTAGAATACAGCCCAAACCAAAGAAGCTTTACTCAAATAAATTTGTAAAAAAAATTATTTTATTGTATTAAGAGAAACAAATACACTACAGAGAGATAAGAGTTGATAGAATACTGATTTTAATTTGTCTATAATGTTTTGATTTCTTGTTTACCTATAGTTAACATTATACAATATACATAGTTTAAGACTATACTATAGCTTTAAGTCTAAATTCTTTTATTACTTTAATATTTCTTCGTCTAGGTCTAAAAGTAAAATTAAATACTGCTTTTTACATTTTCAACAAATGATCAAATATTTCCACGACAATCGTAAAAATGAATCTACGTAACATTGTCTTGATAAATGCTAATATTTAACTGTTATTTCCATTCGTCATTTTTCTTTCAATCTTCAGAAGATGTTCCCTAACATGCATATATTCAGTGAAGTATTCATTGTAATGAAATAATTTGGTTCGGTTGGGGTCGTTTAACAGTTTTTATTTGATAAAACTTTGTTTTTAACCAACTATTGATCGCTCGGTAATATTTTTTCTTAAAGTTTACTTTAATTATCCTTACGAAACTTTGCATCTCTTATTTAAATGTAAGGGTATAATTTTATGATCGCGCGACTTACAAGATTTTCAATTTTTTCTCACATTTCGAAGGATAACGCAGATCTAAAAAAGATTGTGTAAGAATATTCTATACATACATATCCAAACTGAGTTAAAATGATGAATATATCCCTGTGTAGAAGGGTGGATATATGTTTAGCTGTATATCCATAAATATTTGGGATATCAACAGATCCTCCAACAGACAACAGCAGTTCACAAACAGACAAATGATTTCCCTAGATCATTAGAACAATCCCTTTAACAGGTTAAATGCTAAAGGCTATTTTTATCAATGGTTTTGTTACGAGTTTAAACTAAATATATTTTCGATGGGGTTTGGAAAGCAGAAACCTTTATTCTTTTATGTAAAATTATTTAGTAAAATAAAGAGAGGATAGCAAAGTAACAATGACTCAAATTTCAATTATTAATTTATAAACTGAAGAATTTTATTCAGAGGCGTATACAGGAATTGTTCTGGGGGGGGGTGCTTAAAATATTATTCACCTCTATAGCAGCATGGAGAGCAGTGTTACCGTTAATTACACTACAAATATCAGGGCTAGCCCCAGCTTGTAATAAACATCTAAAAAAAGTAGTTATTAATATAAAAACTAAATTTACCGGCCAAAAAAAAACTGGAGGCTAACTTAAATTTATTCAACTCAAGACCAAACTTTTCAGCTGACCAAGCCCAATTTAACAGCTGATGAACTAACTTAACTAAATATATCAGCTGGTATATGAATATATCAGCCGAGTAAACCTAATATATCAGCTAATTAAATGTAAAATTGGAACTGGGAATAAACATATTAAATCAGCTGACTAATCCAAATACATATACCAGTGAACCAAAATATTTTCGCAAATTAAAAATAAACACGGGATACTGAAAGATACAAATAATGCAATACATAAATGATCGGCCCACCTGAGCTGTTCTATATGCCCCTGTCCTGCCTCCAGAACCATGAGATCTCCCAGTTCACTCAGGGTTAAACCGTGTGCTCCTCCACACTGTGCTAAAACCTAGTTAAAAACAAGGGTTATTCGAAGGATGTTTTTTGAAACATTTGTTTATGTTTAAGCAAGGATTTCTAAAAAGACAGTTGTAACTTTATCCAAGAATCTAGGATAATGTCGAAAACTTTTAACTTTGTACATTGAAACTAAATAACGTTGGACTATTTAAAGTTTACTATAAAATATTAACATTATTCATATGATCAAATTTTATCCAGCAAAAGAAGTAAATAATACAAACATAGCCAGCAAAAGAAGTAAATAATAAAAGCATATCGAGATGTAAAATAATAAAAATGTTAAAAATTCTCCTTGCAGTAGTTTGTATCACACTAGGCACAATTAAGGCTCTGAGACAAGATATAAGCCTCAACGATTTTTAAATCATTTTTAAAATAAACAACTGGTTTTATTTAAAGGGAGTGTTCCCGAAAAATGAAAGGGGTATAGGCTTAATGCGATAAAAAAGCGCTTTTGATCGCTAATAATCTTACTTCTATCTGTTGCGTCTATAAGGAGAAAATTGCTAAAGACGTCTCATACCGAATAACTTAGCGCCCATACAAATTGAGAAATTTGCATCATAAAAAATCAATTTAATTTCAATCAAATCATTCAGATATTACAACCTTTAGTCATCGATTATCTTTCGCCACATTTGTATATAGTTTATATTTTATAATATTTTTTAATTAATTTGTTTTGAATTTGATAATTTCTCTTGTCGCTTGCGCAACTATCTAAGAATGCCGCGGACCACTCACATTTTTCGAAATCAGTTAAAACGTTTTCTAAAAAAATAAAATATCATAAAATATAAACAAACGTGGAAAATAGTCGATGACTATAGGTTGTAATATCTGAATGATTTGTTTGAAATTAAATTGATTTTTTACAGTCTAAGTTGTATGTTGCAATTTTCTGAATTTGTATGGGCGCTGAGTTGTTCGGTATGAGACGTTCTTTAACAATTTCCTCCTTATAGACGCAACAGATAGAAGTAAAATTAGTAGCGATCAAAATCGCTTTTTTATCGCATTAAGCTTATACCCCCTTTCATTTTTCGCGAACACTCCCTTTAAGGATTATTAATTCTGGCAGAGATACATTTTATATAAGTTCACCAAATGCAAACTTGTAGAGAATACATGCATTCATTGTAATAGACAGATCTATGGGCGCCGACCCCTATTTCATTGAATGATGGGTTGTCCTTTAATAATAATAATAATAGGTTGTGGAGCCAGTTACGGGAGAAAAGCTCTGATTGTTAAATAACGGATTAAACATAATACCACCCAAAATCAAATTCTGTTTACCTTTACTGTACTCTCCTTCCCTGCCCTAGCAGCCACGAGTAGAGGAGTATCATTGTTCATATCTCTAGCATGTACATTTGCTCCCCTTTCTAACAACCATTCGACCATACTGTCATTTCCTAAACAAACGAAACAAGGAAAATAAAAAGATTGTATTTGCTGTTTTGAATCAGAGCCCCGTTTAAAACAATTAATGCATATGCTCCCAGGAAAAAGTAAAGCTCGTATGAGCTTTTCAAGTATCAATCTTGAAGAATTTGTTTATGTAGTCAAACCATTTTAAGAACCAACAAACAACCTAAAAACTTGAATGAAAAAGAAGAAAAATTTGACCCAAAAAAATTAGGTTCTTCTTAAGAGTTGGGCATCTATTGTGTATATTTTTTAAACACTACGAAATCAAAAAAATAAGTGAAGGTTCTTATAATCTAAAGATGCATTCTCAACAAGTTAGCTATTGCCCGTTTTAACAATATTAACTTTAACATTTTTATTTTAAATCGCAATTTGTACCTATATTTTTCAGTATTCAAAGAATAAAAAGCATTAGATGTAGAAAATACTGACAATCTTCATCTAATTAGTGAAAAGGGGTTTGAAAGTGAATGCTTACTGAATGTATTTAGATAAATGTCTACCTAGAGCAGCAGCAATATGTAGCCCTGTTTTCCCACTGTAATCTGGAGCTGAGAAATCAGGTTGGTTCTCTTCTAGTACAGCTAACCTACTTGTATCTCCCAGATATACAACTATATACAATATACAATTAGAACAGGTAGGTTCTCCTCTAGTATACAGCTAACCTACTTGTATCTACCAGATATACAACTATATACAATATACAGTTAGAACAGGTAGGTTCTCCTCTAGTATACAGCTAACCTACTTGTATCTACCAGATATACAACTATATACAATATACAATTAGAACAGGCAGGTTCTCCTCTAGTATACAGCTAACCTACTTGTATCTACCAGATATACAACTATATACAATATACAATTAGAACAGGTTGGTTCTCCTCTAGTATACGGCTAACCTACTTGTATCTACCAGATATACAACTATACACAATATACAATTAGAACAGGTAGGTTCTCTTCTCTAGTATACAGCTAACCTACTTGTATCTCCCAGATATACAACTATATACAATATACAATTAGAACAGGTTGGTTCTCCTCAAGTATACAATAATATAATAGGTAAGTTGAATAAAAATAAAGTAAGTCACTTTTAAAAAGTTTTCAGAAATTGTTTGATTAATTATAAGTTTTTTAAATATGTGTTTCATGTCAATTTCCTGTAAAAAGAACCTATTTCACCCGAATAGGATTACATTTTGATTCTTCTATAGTAAGCAAATTGATTTCATCTAAAAAAATGGTTCCAAACCAGTGGTTCTCTTTATCTAAAAATGCATCTGTTTAAACTGGTAATCATGATAAATGATGATACTTGAGCTAGAATGAATACCTGAGCAAAGTAAGGATGGGAAAAGAATAGAGTTTAAATTATCTATCTCTTCTCCTGAAGTCAAGTTCATGGCTCGAGCTACCTATACCAGAATATATTTGTCAAGTTCATGGCTCGAGCTACCTATACCAGAATATATTTGTCAAGTTCATGGCTCGAGCTACCTATCGCAGAATATATTTGTCAAGTCCTCACATTATTAATGAAAAGTTAAAACCTTAATTATTTGATAAAATAAAAATATCATGAAAGATTTGAAAAGGAAGTGGATGTTGTTGAAATACCAACCAAAGTGCAGACAAGTTTTAGAATTTTAAAATAAAAACTTTATTAAAATTATACTAGTAGATGACTTGGACCTGGTCAATGAGATCAAGTTGGTTTGTTTCATTAGTTTGCATCTCTAGAGTTCTTGGGTTTACTACTTCAAACTGTACTGTCATCTCTCCTATTCAAAATTAAACAATAAACATGGGAATTAAGTGACAGCTTCCATAAAACATTTAACAGCGAAAACTACTAGTCTTGGGATTTACAAAATGTGGTCTACCATTTTCGCTTCTTGAAAATTGACACATTGATACATTTGTCAAGATTCTAATTTATTAAAAGCCAACAAAATTGTAAAAATGTTCAATATCTCAGTCCATTTTTAGTGTTAAACCACTACATATTTGAAACCTTAGCAGAAGTAATTTTTTTTGAGATAAACTCTTATTCATTTATTAATAATCGGAAATCAAAGACGGTTTTCAAGTCATCTCTTTATTCCCATGTTTATTTGGACACCCTGTATAATACAAAAAATTAGTGGCGTTTCCCAGGAATTTACCATAATTTTTGGGCAAGTTTAGAGTTTCCGGCCCTTGCTGAGTATTGGTTACGTATCTAGGATTTTCCAAAAATTTGTTATATTCAATTATTTGCCCCTTTCCCCCTTTCTACATCAATTGTCTCTTCCAATTGTTAAACATTAAAGTTAAGTTTTTAAACATTTTTTAATTTGACTGTTCACCTCGAATTGAAGATTCCATAACTTTACGCTTCTCCTCATGGCTTAGTTCACTCTAAAATAAAATAACAAACATAGAAAATGGTGTTCAAGTAAAATACAAGTATAATATTGAATTTAAAATATGCTAATTATAAAGTTAATAAAATGGTGGTTCTTTAAATTGATCAATAATCATGATTTTTACATTTAACCTTGGCCAGAACATAGGATAGCTTAGTAAGAGCATTTAACCTTGGCCAGAACATAGGATAGTTTAGTGAGAGCATTTAACTTTGGCCAGAACATAGGATAATTTAGTAACAGCATTTAACCTTGGCCAGAACATAGGATAGTTTAGTAAGAGCATTTAACCTTGGCCAGAACATAGGATAGTTTAGTAACAGCATTTAACCTTGGCCAGAACATAGGATAGTTTAGTGAGAGCATTTAACTTTGGCCAGAACATAGGATAATTTAGTAACAGCATTTAACCTTGGCCAGAACATAGGATAGTTTAGTAAGAGCATTTAACCTTGGCCAGAACATAGGATAGTTTAGTAAGAGCATTTAACCTTGGCCAGAACATAGGAGTTTAGTAAGAGTATTTAACCTTGGCCAGAACATAGGATAGTTTAGTAACAGCATTTAACCTTGGCCAGGAAATATCATAGTTTAGTAGGAGCATTTAACCTTGGCCAGAACATAAGATAGTTTAGTAAGAGCATTTAACCTTGGCCAGAACATAGGATAGTTTAGTAAGAGCAGCTTCAGGTGTAATATCACTGCTAGGGATTACTCCAGCATTCATTAGAGCTCTACCAGTCTCATATTCTCCACTAACAGCTCCATGACTGCACTGAACATAGAATATAATTAGAGCTCTACCAGTCTCATATTCTCCACTAACAGCTCCATGACTGCACTGAACATAGAATATAATTAGAGCTCTACCAGTCTCATATTCTCCACTAACAGCTCAATGACTGCACTGAACATAAAATATAATTAGAGCTCTACCAGTCTCATATTCTCCACTAACAGCTCCATGACTGCACTGAACATAGAATATAATTAGAGCTCTACCAGTCTACAGCTCCGTGACTGCACTGAACATAGAATATAATTAGAGCTCTACCAGTCAAATATAACCGATCTTTGTACACTGTACAGAACACTTTACTCCCAACTGTACAAGTGTACCCTACCTGGGTACAAGCTATACTAGTACAGCTGTTCAAGAGAAAGTTACTTGTGTAACTATACAAGTACAACTGTCCCTACTGTTTACAGTACACAATACAAGTACAACTGTAAAAATGTACCCTACTTGTGAACAGTACACTATATTGCTAACTGGTACAAATGTACACTGTACCCTACCTATGTACATGAAACAACAAGTACACCTGCACAACTGTACCCTACCTGTGTACATGAAACAACTAGTACACCTGTACACCTGTATCCTACCTGTGTACATGAAACAACTATAACACCCTGTTTAGTTGCACTCTCTATTGCTGCTATAATGTCTTTTCTGAAAGAAAAAATAAATGTTATTGGATTTAACTTGAAAATCATATCCTATAAAAGGCCGGATTAATAAGAAATGTGCGAATACAAAAAACACATGCTCTAAAAGCTTGACAAATATATGAACAAATAGTTTTAAAAAAACAGGTAAACGATGATTTTCAAAAGCATGTTCACAAAAAGATTAAAAAGCATGGGAACGAAGAGATTGAATAAAAATGAACTTCGAACATTATAAAATAAATATGATGATTAAATATTTTTTAACCTGTTACTCGGCATATTACCAGCTCCATAGCACTGGAGTACTACACCCTAAATAATAAATCTTTGTCGAATATTGTAACTTTCTGAATTTGTATGAGTCTTCGGTATGAGTCGTTTTTAACAAGTTTCTCCTTATAGACCCAACAGAGTAAGATTAGGAGCAATTCACCATGGAATATTTTTCGAAGTAAGCCTAAACCCCCTTTCAGTTTTCGTGAACACTCCCCTTAATAAAGTTATCTTTTTAAACTATTATGTAGTAACAAAGAAATGACGTAAATAAAATAATGTTAGAAAAGCTATATTTTCAAGCTTCCAACACGCAGTAAAAATCTGGTTCTATTTGCCAGCTAACCTTGATAGGTGGAGTAAGGAAGTGTTTAATAGTCTCTGTACTGATAGAAGGGAATAAACGGAGGAGAACAACATCTCGGCATAGGTTGGCTTGAACATTCAGGGCTTTAATTTTACCACTCTTCCACAGTGATCTAGAATATCAGATTATTTACACACCGATCTAGAATATCAGATAATTTACACAGTGATCTAGAATATGAGATAATTTACAGTGATCTAGAATATGAGATAATTTACACAGTGATCTAGAATATGAGATAATTTACACAGTGATCTAGAATATGAGATAATTTACACAGGGATCTAGAACATGAGATAAATTACACACCGATTTAAAATACACTGGCGCGCGTTCAAAGTTTTAGAAATAATTTATGTAAAAATATTGTGAATTATGTACACCAAAAAAATAAAGATATTTTACTAAGAAAAGCGAGATTTGTATATGTTTTAGGGTTAGGGTTGGTTAAGAAACTTTCTGGGCCGAGCGCTATGGCAATGACAGGCCAGGGGCTCTCTCTCTCTCTGTCTATTAATTCAACGCAGCATGTGGACCAGGCCCGTAGCCAGGATTTGACCAGGGGGGGTGCAATAAGACGCGCCGCCGAAAATTTTTTTTTGAGTGTTTTTAATGATTTTTTAAACAATGTTTGGTTTGGTTTTACAGTGGTATATGGTTGTTTTTATTACATTGTCAATGCACTATATAAAGGCTAACCTTTTTAAGAAGTGTATTTGAGCTTTTAAGGGAGTACTGCTTAACTAACAGAGTCAAGTAATCATTTATTACTTTGACTTTGCAATATGATAACTTTAATNGTGGCGGTGATTACTCGTTGAGGAACTCTGGACTCCCCCCCTCACATGACTCAGGGGATGAGTTGAGAGAGTACACAAAAACTCCGTCACACTTTTAATGAGTAACGCACAAATAGATTATAATTTGGTTTGGAAATCAATTCTTACTCGGGCTATATAATTTATAACTAGATTTTAGAAACTTATGAAAACAATTTCTTTTATATGGGACTATGGGGGGGGGGTGCAAATTCGTCATTGCACCCCTCTTTCAGAAGAAAGGGGGGTGCACCTGCACCCTTGCACCCCCCCCTGGCTACGGGCCTGATGTGGACGTAACTTTTTGGGCCTCTACCTTTTGATCATAATCATAATAAATAGGTTTCTACAGCGATCTAGAATATTATTAATTTTCCACAGATAAATAGAATTTTCAATACTTTTCCACAGTGATCAAGAATCTATTTATAAATTTAGATTTTCTGTCTGTATTCAATAAACATCAAACGCCTGAACCAACCGGGTCCATATTTTCTTTTCAACTCAGATAACTCAAGAGATGGTTTTAGGTCGCTCATAGTTAAATAAATGTTCAATAAAATAATAAAATAATTATGGTCTTTTCTTCTATACTTTAATAACTTTTAATGTTCATGAAATTAATCATGTCAGTATCCTAATAGTTCAAAAAACTGGTTCAAGAAGACTAAATCAAAGCGACGAATTTTTTGTACAGGATTACCCACACAGATTGAGACTGAAAAGACGACCCAAAACTCTAAAAATATGACAATATTAATCTTGATTTTTAGTTTCTGCATTCAATTAGATATTTTGATGCTTTACTAAATGGTAAAGCATGGAAATAAGCCAGTTTCCGAATATCAACTGTAGAAACTTTTGATTGTAGTCCTTAATCCACTCTTTTTCTCTCGCTTTAGATATCCGTACATTGTTTTCGCCAATGAGAATAAAGGAATATAGTTTGTAAATTGTATTGACCAATGACAGCCTTGAAAATAAATTCTATCCAATGAGAGACCTCCACAATTTCTAACAAATGAAGAATTTGCTGTCGGCAATTTTGTAAATTAATCGGTAAAGTCAAATTTGTAATATTACGCTTGGAATTCTTTTTAAAAACTAATTTTAACTAATGTATTAATAAATAAATGCATAAAAAATTAAGTGAAGGCCCTTCCAGCCCAGAAAACGAACAAATCTGGCGTTCCTGGAATCAACCATCGTTCTGCAAAAGTCAAGGCTGAGCTCCCATCAAAATTTATTACAAAATTACTTTAAAAATGTAAGATTTGTTTGCATTCTTAAATTACCTGTAATCTACAGATATATTGATACCCACAGTTGCTAGCGGGGGTAGATTAGGGCTCTCAAAAGCATGTAAGGAACCAGAACTCACCTAAAATCAAATTAAATCATGAGGTTATAAGGGTTGCTTTGACCCCCCCGACACTGAACAAAATTTGAAGTGGCATGTCCGATTTACGACGCACCGAGAATAAAATCATTCTTATAAAGTTTAGTTCCAAAGACTCAACCATTCTAATGTTTCTAGGAACTGAACTTCCACCCATAACAAGACTAAATTAAAATTTTTGATCAGAAAAGGTTTGAAAGGTACTGTTGTAAATCGGGACATGTCACTCTATATAAGTAAGAAAAATATATATAATACCTTGACAGTTCTATTTCCTCGCATTAATTTATGGTTAAAGTAAACAGACACCTCAGGAATACAGTAGTTACCAGCTGTAACAAGTTATTAAATAGTAAAGGAACTGATGACGTAGATATTTCCCAGATAGAAAACCCAGATTTTTATCAGATAAAAAACCCAGATATTTCCCAGATAGAAAATCGAGATATGTCCCAGATATAAAACCCAGATATTTCCCAAATAAAAAAACCCAGATACTTCCCAGATAGAAAACCCAGATATTTCTCAGATAGAAAACCCAGATAGAAAACTCTGATATTTCTCAGATAGAAAACCCAGATATTTCCCAGATAGAAAACCTAGATACTTTCCAGATAGAAAACCCAGATATTTCTCAGATAGAAAACCCAGATAGAAAACTCAGATATTTCTAAGATAGAAAACCCAGATATTTCCCAGATAGAAAACCCACCTATTTCCCAGATAGAAAACCCAGATATTTCCCAGATAGAAAACCCAGATATTTCCAAGATAGAAAACCCAGATATATCCCAGATAGAAAAGCGATGATATCTTCAGCATTGTTGCTCATATAAAGGTTTGAAAGGTATTATTGTATATCAGGCATGCAACTCTTTAAATTTGGGTTTAATCGAAATAATGTTAAAGTCCTTTTGATACAAAATTCAACATTTTAAAAATATTAAAGATTATTTAAGAAAAGTTCATCCATTAAAAATGAACTTTTTGCAAGTCGATTAAAAAAGTTCTGAATTATATTATTTATTGGTATAAAAGAGTTTACCAAGGATAAGCGCTCCAACAATATTATCTCTTCCATCACTTCGTGTTTCAAAACAAGGAATCTGAGATCCTGGTAAATAAAGAAAATTAATATATAAAATAATAATAATATATCTGAAAGAGAACCCGATATGGAACCATCAGGGTACAGCTCATCAACATGCAGCGTATCAGGGGTTAATATAATTCTATTTAAATTGATTAATGATTATTTGTCCCATTCCAAGTCATTTTTGGTCCCAGAAAAAATAATTTTCTCCAAAGAGTAGGTTAATTTAGTTTACACTATACCGAGTAGGAATAAATGAATAGCGCAAGGTAGTTTAAGTATACAAAAACTATAAGTTTAACTATACAAGAACTATATAGTATAACTTTTCTCAACTCATTTATTCCGACCTGAGAGCATCCCTATACTTCAATAAAGAAGGATTCACAAGTTCACAACGGAATGCGGAGAACAGGGCCGTGTATTCTCAGGATAGGGTTTAAAAAAATAACGGTATACATTGTTTAAAGTATTACATAAACAAAAATGAACCCCTGAATGAAAACTATATTTAGCAAGTTTATCTCGCACTCTAGCTTAAGTTCCCGACGTTACCCAGGTTACTTATAGTTAACCCCGCCGTTTACCCGCACTTTGTCTTAAATTACAATTTTAGTTATTTATCCCTAAATAAGTGGACCCACTCAACTTGAATCTCAAAACCAGGTAAAACATTTTCGTGGTTCTCCCGAGTTCCCCTAGCATAATTTTAGGCAGAAATATTTGATCAAAAATGGGGTGGAATCACGCAACCTCGAACTTTTGATTTTAAACTGAAAATGGGTAAGCATTTGTTTTAGATAAGGTAGGAGGACCCTAAATATTTGGAATTATGTTCCAATAGTGTAATGTCACTTCCTGAACTTCTCCACAAATTAAAATTTTGATTTAGCTGATTTTTGAAATTCCCTAATATACCTTCTAGAGAAAATTTATTTTTTCCTAAGTGGGGACAAAAAATAATTTGAGAAAATGTACACCCTTGCAAAAAATCAAAAAAATTTCCTGCCATTTTTGAATAGTTCTATACCATTATTTTAACTCCTCTAACCTGTGACAATAATAGTTTTGCCGAGGTTCTCTAACATAAAGGATAGAGCTGATGAGGTGTATGCCAAAGTATCAGTTCCATGAAGGATAACAAACCTAAAGGATTAGAAAATACTATTAAAGGACCTGAAAGTGTAATTTCAAGAGGCACTCAATGCAAAAACGACAATGCCTGATTCACAACAAGTTTTAAAAATATTAATATTCACTTTCTAGAATTAGCAGAAAATAAAAACTTTCTTTCAAATTTTGGAAATAGTTTTTCACCGCTTTTTTAAAGGGATTCAAGTAGTTTTTAAGATATTTAAAGGGATTCAAGTAGTTTTTCAGATATTTAAAACAAAGAGATCTCAGTACTCGATGAACTATACTAAGGTTTAAAGGGTACCCTTGTAAATCAGGCAATGTCCTCTTTGGTTGCAGAGGGTCTGCATGCATACATCTGACTTTGACTAAATGGAAGATTTCAGTTTATAGTTACTGAATACTCACCCATCAAACATATGGTAAGAGCTTTTTATATCACTAAAATATCATTTCATTAACTTTACATTTTCTCTTTCCAGTGGGGGATGGGGCTAATCACCTATTGGGGCCTGAAAACCCCATGTAAGTCTATATTTTATTGATTCAGGGGGCTGCATCCCCATAGCACCCCCCCCCGTGTACAACTTTGAACAGTATCATAAGAATTAAAACTTTTAAAATTTTCTGATTAAAATTGATATTTTCCTAGCGATCTGAATCCAATCATCCATCGTCATATTACTTGAATCCAGGATAGGATCATATTCATAGATAGAGTACACAACCCNTATAGGAGGTAGTACTAGAGGTACAGTATCCTATACATAGATAGATAGAGTACACAACCCTCTTCATTCCAGGTATAGGAGGTTATCTATCTATCTATTAAGACTCCCCAATAACACAAGTGTTATCAGGTAACCACCTCTCCCTGCAACCCAGTGCCCCCTTTTGGGTGCATGGATTACTGAGTTAGCATGACCTGTGCAAGGATACTGTTATGCCCGAGTAGCAGTAGCCGAAGCCGTGAAGCTCCAACTACATGTAGAGTAAACAAGCACCTGTGCCTACAACTTCTAAATTACTGATTAAGTACCTGTACCTACTACCTTTAATCTTTAGATTAAGTACCTGTACCTACTACCTCTAATCTACTGATGAAGTACCTGTACCTACCACCTCTAAACTGCTGATTAAGTTCCTTTACCTACTACCTCTAATCCAATGATTAAGTACCTGTACCTACTACCTCTAATCTACTGATTAAGTACCTGTACTTACTACCAATAATCTACTGATCAATTACCTGTGCTTACTACCTCTAATCTATTGATTAAGTACCTGTACGTATTACCTCTAATCTGCTGATTAAGTACAGCTTTACCTACCACCTCTATTCTAAAGAGTAAGTACCTGTACCTACTACCTCTAATCTACTGATTAAGTACCTGTGCTTACTACCTCTAATCTACTGATTAAGTACCTGTACGTATTACCTTTAAATTGCTGATTAAGTACAGTTTTACCTACTTCCTCTCCTCTACCTGTACTTACTACCTATAATCTAATGATTAAGTACCTGTGCTTACTACCTCATCTATTTAATAAGTACCTGTACCTACTACCTTTAATCTACTGATTAATTGTACCTGCACCTACTACCTCTTATCTAATGATTAAATACCTGTGCTTACTACCCCTTATCTACTGATTAAGTACCTGTGTACCGAAAGCCGCAAATCTCATCTTAGAGTAATCTTGATCATGCATTGTTACAATACGTCTTATTTTGTTTTCCATAACATTCGGCTGAAATATAAAGGTAGTAAAAGATAGAAGAAACAGAAAACAGTGGAATAAGAAGACGACATTAAACAAAATAATAAGTGTATTTGATATTGTTTCAAAGCAAACAGTTTTACTAGTATGGACATGGGTCTGTCTACACTGCACCATTGCTGTGCTTTGTATGCATTGTACTATCTAAAATCTTAACTTGAGTCTAAAAGGCGTCTTTATATTCCCAATTTTCTGGTTCACAGTGAAGAGAACATTTATTTGATATGTCGAGGATAAGAAATAAGATTCTAAATATTTCGTAAGACCGGAAATGGAACTTTATAGTCCTTACGATTACCTGGGGAACCAAAACTCCGTCGTTGTTCCTGACCATACCAATAGTTCCTCCAGTATACAGAACTGAAAATAAGAATTGCTTAAAAACATAGCTTACATATTTATAAAGAATTATTTTCATGAATACAGAACTAAACATACGGAAAAGTTTATCTATAGATATATAAAGTAGGATCTGTCTGTTTGGATGTTTTTAGATGTCACATTTTTAACGACTTAAGACTCACCTAGCACTCGAGATTCCACTCTTGCATCCAATTGCATACTTTTCTGGATATCTAAACAATTTTATAGATATTCAATAGAATAAGATAAAGGGTTTGGGTCTTTCAAGTGGGTTCTAAAAGGAAACCCAGAAAGGTTTAATACTAAAACGTGTAAAGTTTCAACCTGGAAACCTAGAAAGGTTTCATTAAAACCTGTGAAGTTTCTACCTGGAAACCTGGAAAGTTTCTACCTGGACACCTGGAAAGTTTCTACCCGGAATCCTGAAAGTGTTCTACCTGGAAACCTAGAAAGGTTCAACCTTTAAACCTGTAAAATTTCAACCTGGAAACCTGGAAAATTTCGACCTAGACACCTGGAAAGTTTCCACCTGGAAACCTGGAAAGGTTTAACCTTGAAACCTGTAAATTTTCTACCCAAAAACCTATACAGACTTTACCAAGAAACCTAGAAAGCTTCTACCTGGTGACCTGTAAATTTTCTACCTGGAAACCTTGAAAGCTTTTACCTGGAAACCTGCAAAAGATCGATCTCGAAATCTGGAAACCTATATTGTATTGTACCTGGAAAGAACTGCAAATTCATTTATTTTGAAGCGTGAATTAAGAAAGAGACAAAAGATTTCTTTAAGAATCACGAGACAAATGTGTACTACTGACACCTTCAGTAAACACTTGTTTATTCGCAATACTGGCAATGTTCTTTATTATTACATTTGCAATATATCAAGTCCATTAAAGCATATACCTACACTTGCTGAATGCGTTAGTCTCCTCGGAATGGAGAGGTCGTCTACAGGATCCCATACTTCGTCGCCCATATTCCTCACAGTAACTTCTTTCGCGTCAACTTTATTTATTAACTGTACTGTCTTCTCCAGATTACCAAGATTTTCCATCTAAAAATTCACGGATTTTCTTTAAAAATTTCAAATTTAAACGTTAAAGGGGCTGTGTATGTTAGGTCAAATGACCCTCTATTTAAACTTTAAAGAGTGGATTGTCAGTTTTGCAAATGACGGCTTAAACAGAACTTCGTTCTAAGTAACAATTTGAAGAGGATGTCATGGGCGTACTCAGGAATTTGTCCAGGGGACGGGGGCTAAATTTTTTTTCTTTCTTTCCAGGGTGGGGGTATAGCCAGGGGGATGATAGTTCTACCTGTTTGCTCAGTTAGCTGTACTGTACATTTACAGCTAATTACTAATAATGATATACTATAGGTTAGGCCAAAATCTCCTTATAATAAGTAAGGTAAATAATAAATAGTGTATTAGCGTACATTATCACTCTATGCACTATAACCTCGTTGGATATAGCACCTTTAGGGGCCTTTAACCCCCTTGAAAGCCATAATATTTACTGATCCGTGGTGGGACGGAGCCCCCATATGCCCCCCCCTTCTTTAATACGCCTCTGGAGGTTGTGGTCGACGTTTTTCTTTAAAGTTCTAAACAGTTCTATAAAATGTCAAAATTTGAACATTCCATATATTGAAAAATTGCAAATAATCAATTTTTAAAGATAAACACATAGATATTTCATATATTTTTTATCAAAAAAAAGTTTTCAGAGTACCCTTAAACATCGGGCAATTAAAGGGTCAGTTGAAATTTTATCTCGAGAATTATGATCGTATATTAAAGAGATAAAATATACCTTCAACGCTTTTTTCGAGAGAAAATAAGAATTTAACAGACTTAAATATTGTAGCATTGTTGTGTTCAGTAGATCTAATTTGTTTTTGTTACTTGTACAATTGTACTCAATCACACACTATGCATCCGCAAATTGCAATACAACCACCCCAACAAAATCAACGAGGTTATAGTGTATAGAGTGATGATGTACGCTAATTCTTTACTGATTGTATAGGCTATGAAGTACAGGGTGTCCCACAAAACATGACAGTTGGTGAATAGTTTAAAATGTCTTCTTCCATAATTTGTTAAGTTGTTTGATCCAAAGATGATGGTAAGAAATATATCTGGCAGTAATACTTTAGTAAAATTGATTTCAAACTAATGTATATTTGCAGAGTAAAAGATTTGCTTGACGAAATAAACTGCAAAAAGTCTCAAGTAACAATATAGTATCATGGAAGAAAACATCGAAAACTATTCACCAACTGTCATGTTTCGTGGGACACCCTGTATACCGAGAGCGTACTGATATTTGTTTAATATAAGTTGATTCTGGCCTAACCTATATAGTACATCAATATTAGTAAACAGTTGTAAGTGTACAGTACAGCTAACTGAGCACACATGTAGAGAACTATAATTCCCCCTGAACCAAGGAGAATTGAATAGAAGGAGGGGGCAATAGGGTTTCCGTACACTTTGCTGTGACGTATTTGGACTGCTGGAGAACTAGTTTTTGCGTAATAACAATAATAAAGATTGTAAACAATACCACAATGATAAACAGACATTGGTGCATCTCTGGCGTTAGATGAAGATTTACGTATACTAACTCATGTTTGTTTACATTAGATCGGCTGCCTTTATTATTGTTGTTACGCAGAAACTAGTTCTCCAGCAGTCCAAATACGTCACAGCAAAGTGTACGAAAACCCTATTGCCCCCCTCCTTGTCTTAAAATCTCCTTGCCCTGAACAAAATCCATATTTAATTTATTAAAAATCTAAAGAATCCCAAATTAGTAATATAATTGTCCAAAAGCTCCAACAATTGTAATTATGGTAAAAAATCAATTTAAGATAATTAAGCCTTCGATTATTAAGAAGATTAATGACGTATAGTTTTGCTATATTTAATTTAATATTTATATTTAATTCAGATATTCTCAAAAAAAATGTTTACAGAAAACCTTTATAATAAAAGTGGGCATATTGTAAATTGTGAATCCCTTTCATTTTTCTCAAGTTATTTACACAAAATTCTTTAGATTAATCAAAAATTAAAATAAAAAGATGATATTTTTAAAACTAAGAGCGATGTAATTAGCCATTTAGTATTTGCAAAACCACAAAAAGCAGCCTTTGTTGCATAATTACTTATTTAATCTCCTGTTCAACGAAATAACCAACCTTAAATTCCCTCCTTTTTTATGATTAAGAGAGTGATAAATGTAAATATAAAATTAAATTAGAGAACTATTTATTCAATAAATCTATATGGATCACAGAGGGAGGATAAGTAATTATCCTCCCTGTAAAGAGGGAGGATAAGTAATTATCCTCCCCGTAAATAGGGAGGATAAGTAATTATCCTCCCTGTAAAAAGTGGTTTTCCCCTCAATTTAATTATCCTCCCTTAATCTCCCGGTTAAGTAGTAATTAATAGTTATTAAGATACTTGACATAATGCATCAAAAATAGATTTAAAACTTTCATTATCTATGTAAATCTTAAAAATGTGTCGGGAAAAAAAGCTTGATCGATTCGGCCAGAAAAAAATGGCATTACTATTTTTTGTCAGATCTTTTTGGTCACTGTGCACTGTGCAGGTTAAGAATAAATTTCATAACAGTCTTTCTTCTAATTTTTCAGTTTCTTCTTAGTTATTTTAATTTTTTTTTATCTTGTGTTAAATTTAGCGCACAAAATTCTCAGTTTGAAAAAAGTTTGCAATATAAAAAAATAGCTAATATCTTAATCTATCTATCTATCTATCTATCTATCTATCTATCTATTTATTTATCTACCTATCTAACTATCTATCTATCTATCTATCTATCTATCTATCTATTCTATCCATTTAACTATCTTGATTAACAGCAAGTAGTTTACTTACAGATACTTGATTTTATTAGATATGTGTATACGTTAAACAATGACAAATAAACATGCGTCTAAATACAAAAATTTTGTAAAAATTTTGAATGCATTGTACACTACGTGTATAGTTTTTAACCCTAATAGACCGTGGGTTTAAATATGGGTGTCCCCCCCCTCCGATTTTCACAAATAGTGCTCCATTTCTAATACCCTGAAACTTTTTGATTTTCAAAAAACAGTATTATAGTAATTTAAAGAATAATTTGCTATGATTGTTTTTATTGCGTAGCCTATACAGTTAACATCATGCAGAGTCATTAAATTGCCGTTGCTGCGGTGTAAACAGTAAAAAAATCGACTAAGGGTTTTATCTTTTAATACTATTAATTATACCTTAATATGTACTTTTTATCAACTTGTGTGAGACCCCTCGTTTCTAATGGTTTAATGATAAAACAACAAGTTATTAGCTTTAGTAGTAAGTTATCAAATCACTTATTAAGTAAAATGGGTCTGCTTACATTACACTGCATTAGACTATTAGTATTCACAGTCTAAACTTAAGACTCTAAAAGTCGACTTCCTATTCCAGAGTTTTCTGGTAATCACTGTACGCGTTTCTGAATTCTATGGGTCTTTTTCTGTGGAATTTTTTAGAATTTTATGATTTGCTTTCCCGAAACTGTTTAAAAGAAATTACAATCATGATTTAAAAAGATTTAATTATGTAATTGTATGCATGTTATTTTTTATGAGAGGATTACTTTTAAACGTACAATCACGAATTGAACAATAATTAACTTTGAGTTTCAAAACGTGTTAAATAACAAACAACCCGGTGTTTGATTATAACATTGTCTTGTATGTGTTTATTGCTTCTAGTGCCTGAGCAGTCCTGTACATCTAGGTGAAATAAATGGTACCCAAACTCTATAATATTATTTACTATACTCACATTGAGATAAGAATAATATAGAACCAAATATTGCGTCAGGGTCTATACTTTCAAACTGTTTACACGAGACCCATGTTTTAGCTTTCTAAAATATAGGGATCTTTCTCTACGCAATATGGCTTTCTTCTGAAACTGAGGCAATGATAGATAGATAAATAGATTTATAAACAGACAGATAGATAGATAGATAGATAGACTTACCCCCTCGCCCCCCCCCCCATCATTATACCTTCCTTTTTATCTAAATGTTCTTTTACCCTGTTTTCTTCAGAAAAACATAAAAAAAATTGCGCCAGTTTTCGATTTTCTGATCTCTATATATTTTAATACCAAAATACAGGATGGTCGAAAAAGACTGAGACTGTAATGACGACCTTAAACTCTTAAAATATCACAATTTGAAAGTTTTTTTCGGTTTTCTGTCCGGCTTTAAATTTAAAAATTATTTACAATGAGAACCAGAAAACTCTGGAATAGGAAGACGACTTATAGACTCAAGTTATGACTTTAAATAGTCCAATAAATATAAGACACAGAAACTGAGAAATTGTGCAGTGTAAGCAGACCCATTTTACTTAATAAGTGATTTAATATATTACAACTAAAAGTATTTGCTGTGAAACAATATCAAATGCACTTAATTATTGCTTTAATGTCGTCATCTTATTCAACAATTTGCTGATGATCATTGTACTAAATCGTTAATGCCCCATAAGCAAGTTATGTTTAATAAACAAGATAATAATTTCCTCACAGTTGTCTAGCTTCATGATTGTATTGTGTATTTTTAGTGATATTTTCTCTTAATATTTGTTTTTAAACATAAACTCTTGTTAATGATTTTAAATCAGTTTGTTTTCAATTCTATAATCAAATTTCAAAAGTACAGGCCGCGGATTCAACAAATCGGTCACTTTTAATCACAATTTGACTTATAAATAAAATATTTCGCCTTTCTTATATAAACATTTTTAATGAAAACGAAAAAAGATACAACACGGTAAGTTTAAAGCAAGGGCGTATACAGAAATAAATCTGAGGGAGGGCTAAATATGCGCGAAGCGCAAATTTTTTTTTGCCCCACCCTAGAAGCTTCTAGGGGGGGAGGGGAAATTTGATCCGTAAATTGAAAACATTTGGCTTCTTGGATACTTCAAAGGTTCACATACACTATACAGTCCAATTACAATGCAATAACTACTTCATCTCTCCATCAAACAAAACTAGCAGAAATAAAACAGCAAATCAATGTATTCAATACTCTTAACTCTTCAGTTTCAGATTTGAAAAGTGTGATAGCTCTGAGTTCTAGGGGGGGGGGCTACGTCCTCCCTTTTACAGGTCTATGTGGGGGAACTGTCCACCTTGCCCCCCCCTGTATACGCCCTTGGTTTTAAAGATTGAAAAACGAGGTTGAATTAATCATGAGTAGAAACCGAACGCATGTGTCGCCCTGGTCACAGTTTTGTTTTTTTCTTTCCTTCTTTCTTTCTTCTTTCTTTCCATATTTGTTTTCTCACTATACTTTGATATCTATCAGAGACGTATGTTTAGCGGGGGGGGGGAGTTGCAGCCCAACTGGGGTTGAGACCCCCCCCCCCCCTTTAAAATAGGAACTAGTTAAATTCCTTATTGCGCACACTTGATCTTTATAATATCTTTAACCTTAAGCAGGCCAACTTTATTTACATTTAAAGATACAAAACTTAAGAAGTTGTATTTTTGATGTCGTCTTCTGGATTTTAGTTTTTAAAGTATATTTAGTAAAAATTCAAACCAAGATATTTCCATGAACTACAGGATTACCCATAAAGGATGAGACTGTAAAGACGACCTAAAACTCGGAAACTGTGACTAAGGTTAAACCTAAGGTTAAATTAAGTATTCGGCTCTAGATAATGTATTGGTTTACATAATGATTTGGCAAAGAAAGAGAGAAGTTTACAGTTTACAGGGAATAGTGAACATAAGGAAACATACAGAATTAATTCCGTACAATCGTCTCTAATGTCTCATCCACTGTGGGCAACCCTGTATGTTCAGTCCACATGTTCTGAGATATTACAATTTGTTATAAAA